TATTATGCTTACGATAAGCTTATTTAATAATGTATAATATGTATGATAATTATATATAAAAGAATAATATAATATAAAAGATAATATAAAAGAATCATGTATGCCATAATAAAATCTGATCATCAAGCATTTCATTCCTGGCACGAAAAAATAGATTCAAACGTAAAAGAAATATACATATAATTCCATTTAAAAAAGACGGAGTACTTTTCAAAAATCCGTCAACAGAACTACTATCAAGTAATGGCTTCAATAGAAATAAAACTTGCAAAAAATTTGTTATTATTTTTAATAAATTTGATATTTAAATATTATGATATTTAAATGGGATATTGTATAGCTTGACAAACTATAGCACTGGAACGGAAATATAACGATACAGGCGGTCATTGATCTTCGAGTACTTTCACATTGTATATAGTTTTGTTTCTCGAGCGTAAATGGGGTAAAAACGATATGATATTGTTAGTTAGTTAACATTTTGATATTATATTTTTTATTGTTGTATTTAAAAGATTGAGAATCTTATTTAATATGTCTGCAGTGACAATGTCTTACTGACAATTCATGAATCTATCGTTCTATTTTCAAGCAAATGTTAAGTTGATAATAATCGTCGATACTGATTCATCATCGATAAATTGACAGAGTAAAACGTATCTACAACTTTTTTACGTTAGAATAACACGTTATTAGATATTATTACAATTTATACAATATAATTATATTTAAAATAGTTGTGTACATATATAAATGGTTGCAATTGCATTGTTACTTGTAAAAGTTATTGCTTTATCTTTCTTCCTTCATCGACGTAATTGTACATATTCTTTAATCTCATTATTTTCACTGTTTTTTATCGTAAGGCCAAGTTACGTAAATAAAAGCAAAAGTAGTTTAGGTAATCGATCGATTGTTTCGATCATTCCGATTGGAGCGCGTTATGGTCAGTGACTCTTCAAATTTTTCAACAAATAGAGATTTACGCTAAGTGGGGAATGTCGTTCACCACAAGTCAATATAAACGCATTTTACATGCGAAAACACGATCACTTGATGAGAAAGTGATGCAGACTGTGGTTATTCCATTGGAATCGGAAGTTTTCGCACGAGCTCCTCAGAAAACGACCGATGGTCTTCGAAAATGGCTTGCTATGAGGTCAGTGAAAGAGAAATATTACGATAGAGTATCGATTAAATATTTAATTAATTGTAATAATATAATAACGTTTCTCTTACTTGCACATATATAATTATATATGTTTTAAATATACAATTATATTTCTTTCACATCAATCAATTTATTTTATGCAAAAATATTAAAGCAACGTTATGTGAAAAATAATTCAGGAAACATATTTTATTTAATATATAAATTTAAATAAAATATAATATATTTAGTAAATATATAACGTTATAATTCTATGGACATGATAATAGACTGCTATGCATTATTTCCGACGACGGAAATTGTTTAACGCACAATTCGAAGCAAACGCGTTTCGAAAAATAATGGAATACATAACTCGCCCGCTTGGTTCGAGTTACATATAAGTTTATCATATAATTTTATAATTTAATATTATTTATACCTTTATTTTTAAAAATATCAATAATTAAAAAAACTAATTAAAAAATTCTTGTAGATTGAAAACATGACATTATACGTAATTTCTACATAATTCTTTCTACGTAATTCTTTTAATAGTTGCAAAAATTATCCAAAATTATTTAAATTTAATGTCATATTTGATCCATTATTAATTGTTAAGCTATAATTGATTTTGGATGTTTATAAAACAAATTATTTAGACATCTTTCAAAACAAAATATAATTGAAAAATTGATATATTTAAAAAAATTGATAATTATTTAAAATTTAATGCTAGAAGTGTAAATAAATTCTATTCTATATTATTTAAAATTTTTTAATTTTATATCTTATTTTTCAATTAAAGTAAATTTATTCTATATAATTTTTACATGATCTGAAAGATTTAATATCAAATTAAGGAATGATGAGAACCACAATCTATCTAAAATAAAAAAAAAATGCAGTTGTTTCTTTGAAGATTATTCTACATGTATAATATTTATTATTGTACTCTACTAAATAGATTTTATATCTTTATAGTTATTTTTATTTGAATAAATTAATAAATACAATAAAGACTTTCTTGTATATTTATAGGTATGTCTAACGCTATTAGCTCTAATTACTTGTCATGTAAGTGCAAATTACGAGTATGGGCGTTTGAAAAGTTTGAATTCAGAAATCGCCACATCGCCATGGAATAAGCAGTATGAAGTTTATGAGAGCGCTTCGTCTGAAGTTCTGCCTTCTTACAGTTTTTATAAATTAAGAAAAAATCGATCTACAGATCGTTTTGGAAGCCCATCTGAACCTTACCCGATTAAAAAGGAACTCATCGAACAAAAAAGCTTGAAAAAAGTTCCATTTCATTCATTTACTAACAAAGATTCCACAAAATACAAGGAACTGACTCATGATTCGGGAATTGCACACTGTCAAGAGATAAAATCGACTGAAAAGGATGAACTACAAAAAAGCATCACTTGCTACAATTGCAAAGATCCGAAAACTAAATCTACATATGAACGTTGTTTATATAATCATCCGGAAGAGAGAACATCCGCAAATACAAATGTGGAGCGTTATCTATCCGCGCCCACCAACTTCAGATATCGAAGGTAGCAGTATTAAAATATTTTTTATGAACATCATATTTGGCATTATATTTTGTTCAAAGTTTGTTTAAAAAATTGCATTTTCAATTATACAGATTTAAAATACGTGACATGTCATAATATAAATAAAATAATAAGGAAATGAGAAAGAATAACTATTCCTTGTAATTGTCTCATGTTTTGTGTTATCATATAATTGTATTGACATCTGATATAAATTAAACACACACACACACACACACACACACACACACAACAATAATATAATATAATAATATATATATATATA